GTTCTACCTGATGGCTGCCTTCCTCTTGCGCTGCAAGGATCTGGGTTTGGAGGCTAGCGTTGGCCTATTTAGGCACTTGTTTCAAATTGGGCTTAACAGCTCTCTCGAGAATCAGGGCTACGCCCTTATCTCCCAACGGTCCGACAGGAGTGGGTTCTACCACACCCCGTCGTCTCACCCTGGGTGGAAGCACAAGTTCGTATTCGTCTGTACTGATAGAAAGGGGGATCTCCTTTCACTGCCCCAGGTTCCCTGTCGTTCAATATGCACGATGCTGGTGCGTTGGGTGAGTTTGCTGACGATGTGGGCACCTATGTCAGGTATGGTGACCTGGAGATCACAACTTTCTTGCCCGAAAAGAAGCTGAAGGACTTGGGCTTCGTCTTTTATACCGAGGTTCCTGATGAAGACCAAGGGGCTGCGGTTGGTGCCAAGCCTCAAGGTGGGGATCAGATTGGCGCCCGGGAGGAAGCTGACATCGTTGCAGCTATCGCCGCGTCCCTGGCCACGGGACAGGTCTCGGTTGATGGTCCCACTGCTTCTGATGTGTTGGGCCCCCAGTCCTCGGGTGAGGAGAGGGCCTTTACCCATATGTCCCCTCCTAGGACCGAGTACTCAGAGGATGAGGAGCCTGCATTGGAGAGGAAGAAACGTTCGGGGGAGGCGTTTGCTCCTGGGGTTGCCAGTTCTGCAGGAATGGCAGATCCTGCAAAGGTTTATTTGGCTTCCTCCTCTCAACCCTATGGGTTTGCTGGCTCTGCAAGAATGGCAAATCCTGCAAAATTTGGAGCTGAGCCCGCCAAGAAAATGGCAGATCCGGCAAAGGTTGATTTGGCTTCCTCTGCTCAACCTGATGTTACTTCGTCAAGTATGTTTTCCTTTGATTATGATTTGGTATTTCGATCTGTGTGTTGTATGCTTTCATTGTTGTTTACTGTACTGGTTTTGCCGTTGCAGGCAGTACCATCCTATTTGACCTCGTTAACCGTGCTCAGGAGGGTGGGAAGAAAACCCAGCCCTCAGCTGGTGTTAAGTACGCTGACCGATCGCCCAGTGGCTCCTCCTCCTCTTCCGAGAGCTTAGAGGACGGAGGTAATAATGATGCTGCTGATGTTGCTAGCAGGGGGGATGCCTGGCTAACTTATGCTGCGGCACAAGGAGAAAACACTGCAGTGCCCGCGCAAGCCGTGGCGAATGCCACCACTGCCTCTCCACCGGACGTGGTCATTAAGGATGCCACGGATGAGGGTGATGATGAAGATGACAAGGAGACTGTTCAACAGCTCCGAAGCCACCTGGGCTTAGATACTGCTGGCCCCATCGGTTTCGTTCCGGCTAGCGGCTAGAAGAAACGTTCCATGGCTAGGGGTAGTGGCCCTCCCCATGATTCTGTGAGTGAAAGGAAAAGGCACATCTTCCAATTTTCTGTAAGGGACGATGAGGGCTTTGTCTCTGAGAATGTTGGGGCCATGGATATGCTGGCAAGGCTAAGGCTGCCCTGTGATACCAAGGTCCTGGGTAAGATGGATAGTCCATCTGTTGCTGAGGAGCTTACATCCAATGCCCTTAAGGTAATATTTCCTCTTGGTATCTTGTTTCCATCTCTTCGTGTATTTTTTTTACCTTTCTGACTTTGTTCTTTTGCTGATGCAGACAACCACCTTGGGCTATGAAATGGCCCTTAGACTGGAAGCCGCTGAGCTCCGAGCCAAGAGGGCCTCATCAAGGCAATCGGATCTCCGTGAAGCCCGGCGCCTTGCTGAACAGGCCTTGGAGGCGTCCCAGGGTCTGGTTTCGGGTCTCCAAGAGAGGGCCATGAATGCTGAGTGTCAACTCAAAGATTGCCAGGCCCAGTTTGCGGCCTTGAAGGAATCCATTGACGAGGCTGTCCGGGCTTTGAGTGAGGCAGAGGCCCATTCCCAACGTGCTGAAGAGTGGGCCCAGGCCGCTGAGGACAAGGTCGCCACCGCCATTGAGAAGGAAAAAATCAGTGTGGCAGAGTGGCAGCGGATGATAGATGTATCCAGTCTGGCCATGAAGGAAAGGGATAAACTCCGGAAGTCCCTCGGGGGAATTGAGGCGGAGCTGTGCTCCTTCAAGACCCAGTGCTCCACCTTAGAGAGCCAACTCGCGGTGGTCATGCGAGAACGCCGTGAATGGGATGCATAGCATGACAAAGTCGCTCTCGAGCTGAAAGAAGCCCGCTCCCAAGTTAGCAAGCAAGGACGTGTCTTGGAGAAGCTCGAACGGCAGGCTGAGGAGGCGAACTGTGCCAAAACCCGGGCTTATGATCTCGAAATTGATATTGCCTCCAGGGATGATGAACTGGTGAAGCTGAGAAAAGAGCTTGAAGAGATCCGGGTTGCATCTGGCCTTGATAGGGCACGGTTAGTGCAACTTGAGGGTGATTTGGCCGTGGCGCAGAAAAGGCTCGAGAACTACACGCCAGGTCACTCAATGACCATCGAGAGGGCCAAAGCTGGTGCTGTTTCTGAGTTCCAGGCATCTTTTTCTAAGGATCCAGCCTCTCCTTAAGCTGTCAATTGGCTTCATGGGGTAATGGGCAAGCATATCAATAGTTGGTTGACCACGCCCGCGGGGCTGGAGTTCGTGCAGGAACAGTTGCTGCCCACCCTGAATTACGGGAAGTACCAGATGCAAAAAGATATATACGACAGGCTCCGAGAAAGCATGCCAGGCTTCAACTATAAGACTTACAAGCTTCCCAGGCCCATAAAGCATCCGAAGATTGCCCCTAACCAACAAATTCAATACTCACTAACTGCTCAGGCACAACCAGCTGAGGCCGGTGAAGAGGTGGCAGGAAAAGAAAGGAAGAGAAAAAGAAAGGAGTAGACCCCCCCCCCTAATCTTTTCTGTATATCTGGTTGTTGGGCCTTTGTTGTAATCATTTGGACATCTTTTGATAACCATATTGTGTATATGATGCATTCCTTTATCTGCACTCTTCCTTTTGTGTTTATTGCTTTGCGTATTTGCTTATGTATTGCGCAGGAGTTGTTTGGTGGGGATGGGCCATGTTTATCTGGCCTGTCCTCCTTTTGCTCTGAGCTCAGCATGTGTTTGCTGAGTTGCCACAATTGTCCCCAGCAGAGGTTGCATAGTCAACCTTGTTTGGGTGAGGCATTGTTGGCTCCTTGCTGTTTTTTAATGGTAGGGAACTTTCCTTTGCTTGGTTCACAACCATGGATTTTCAGGTATCTATGCTGGATTCTGCATGTTGCATGCTTGTGCAGTAATGGATTTTCAGGGGTCCATTACTGAAGAGTTTATCAGTAGCAGTGATTGCTAACTGTTGGAGCTTTCATCGGAGCTTTTGGCCGTCACCTTGGAGCTTTAAGTTGTGCCATTTTCTTGCGGCCACTAACTCGTTTGTTTGGTGCCCTGTGTCTAATAAAGTTTTTTGGGACTAGTTTTTCCTTAGGAAAGTAGTTTGAAACCTTCGCTTTAGTTTATCTCTTTAATTACAATGCAAGGTCATCAGGTGCGTTGAACAGGTGAGGTAACCTCATTTTTTGAAGTCCTCCCCTGTTAACTGGTCTGAGCCCGTGCTATTAAGTGCACTTGCTCAGCCTGTGACAAGAAAGTTTTAGCAGAGTTGCGACAACTGCTTCACTTGCTATAAGTGGCTATTGCAAAGGCATTTTATTTTACAAAATATCCCAAACAGCTATAATATGTAAACCGAATCTGGAAAGTAGGTCTTAAGATGTCTGCAGGGCTTGAGAAGTGGGCTCGACAATCATGTTCCAGATACGAGGTCTTTAGGCAAGCTCGACTGGAATCTGCAGTGATGCATTGTGTTACAGCCGGACTTCAATTCCAGGCTTTTTGGCTTTGCGTCAGAGATTTTGGTAGCGACCTCCTTCTGGACCGCAAGATATGGACTAGAGCTCAGCTATGCGGGATTCGTACGAGAGCCCGACGTGGTCGGAAGCGAGAGGTGCAAGCAGTCGGACTTTAATTCCAGACTGTGGCATTGCGCCATCAATTTAGGGAGTTGTCCTCCTTCCAGACCGCGAGATATGGACTAGAGCTCGGCACTGCGAGATTCGTACGAGAGCTCAGCGAGGTCAGAAGCGAGAGGTGCTCAACCAAGGTCAGGACCGTCAAGTAGTCCAGCCTTCGGCGTTTGCGCCTCAATTTAGGGAGCTGACCACCTCCCAGACCGCGAGGTATGGGCTAGAGCTCGGCGCTGCAGGATTCGTATGAGAGCCTGGCTGTAATACTTAAGAATTTGATTGTTTAGATATAGTTAATGTTTCGGGACGAAACATCTTTTAAGGAGGGTAGAATGTGACACTCCAAAAATTTAAAAAAAAAATAATAATTTTTAGCCAGATAAATCATAAAATATTGCGGAAGTGACATTTTATTAATTGAGTCAGACAAAAATTCAACAGTTGTAACATTCTAATCAGATAAAAATTTCAAAATTTATGACGTCTTAGTCAAATAAAAATATTTCAGTAATAGGAACAACATTTTATGAAACAAGTGAACCAGACAGAAAATTAACAATTGTGACATTTTTAGTCAGATAAAAATGGTCCAATAAAAGAAGTAATATTTTATATCAAGTACCAATTATACATATGACATAAGAAGTAAAAGCTATATTTTATTTTTACAAAAAACAATTTCCATTTTTACTCCTAAATGTATAATACTATACGTATAATACTATACGTTAAAGAAACAAGTTTTTTTTTTACCTATGCGTCAGTTACAAAGGAAGAAATTTTTAGCCATAAGAGCAAAAAAAATAATAATAGGTTATATACGTTCCCCAAACGCATCAGTTACAAAACTTTTTAAAAAAAAAATTTATGGAGGAAATCATCTAACGCATGTAACGTTCAAAGAGAAAAAAAAAAAAATCTTAGGAGCAGGATTTTAGGATCTGAATCAGAAGCTTTACACCCAGCCATCTCTATAAATAGCAGAAGAGTTGCCTGGCCTTTTCATCCCAAAAATTCCGTCGGAAAAACGTATATATATATATATATATATATATATAACTTAATTTTTCCAACCCATCGTTAGACTCAAAACCGAGCCCTGAAAACGCTTCCCAGACCTTCCCCTTCGTGAGAGGAGTCCAACGGAGGAAGAATCATTGAAAACGGTCGTGAAACGAGGGAGAAAACGCTCGCCGGAGTTTTCGCCGGAAAACTTTCCCGACGGAAAACGGAGGAGCAGGAGCCGCCGTCGCCGCCGCCAACCCTTCACCGAGCTTCGCCGTCCCGAGAGGAGTGCACCGCTACCCCGTTGGCCGTTTCCGTCGAGGTAGGTTCTTTCCCCCCTTCTTGCCCGTTTTTCCGGCGATTCACCGGAGAAGACAACCCAGCCAAGGCTGAGGTCTGTCTTGGGCCTGATCTTTGGGCCAGAAAAAAATTAAATTTGGGCCAGTTCGGCCCAGTTGCAATAAAAATTAAAAATAAAATAGTAAATGAAATAAATAAAATCTGGAAAAATATAAATTAAATACCTGGTGTAATTATACATGTTCGGACCAACCAGAATTGAAAAATAATATTTTTAGCTATTTTTAATTGATTTAATGGTAATTGGGCCAATTTGTACACAATTAGTAAATAAATAAGTAAATGGCGAAATTAATTATGAAATAAATATTGGAGCAAACTAGGATAAATATAAGACTAACTAAGACATTATGGACCATTTATAATTAATAAAAATTAATATTAGTATATTTAATTGTAAATGGACCGGTTATTTGATATACGAAAATAAATGAATAATTAAGGAAAATGAATTATAAAATAAATATTTGGACAACCTAAGCCAAATATAGAACCAAAATGTAGTTATGAACGGTTATTAATTTATAAAGTCGACTCTTGGCTATTTTATTAAATTGGACCATATAAAGCTAATTAAGTAATTAAATAATAAAATTTTTATTATCGATGAAATGAATTTATAGTTTAATATTCATTAAAGAATATTATAATAAAATAATTGTTTCGACTTGGTATCATGATTAGATTAAATAAATTGGTAGATTTTGTTTTCACTAATTATTGGACTAATTAAGGTAGAGTAATATAACATTTGCATAATTACGGACTTTAAAATATTAAGTGTTTAAGTAATTAATAAAATCAGAATATATTAGTTAATTCAGATTTATTAAGGCTAATAATGTTAATATAAACTAATTTTGATATTTGATTAGTTAGATTAAAAATAATTCGGATATAATATTAAGACATACCATATGCTTTAGGAGTTGAGTAAATAAAAAGATGATTATTAAATTAAAAAGTTGATATTGTACTTAATTATATTCGTATGTTTTAGAATTTAAGTATTTTAATTAACGACTAAATTAATAAGGTAATTTAATTAATAAGCAGTGATTAGCGCGGATAATAAAATAATTAGTGAATTCGAAAAAAATAAAATAAAAGGTAAAAATCGAGTAAAATAATTATTAAAGAGTAAGTGACTAATTATATCATCTTAATTAAAAAGGTGATCATTTAGAGACTGAAGTAGATGACGTGAATTAGGAGCATCGGACTTAAGGTAAGTTTCTCTGCCAATCTAAAATTGTTTCCTCGTATTATATGCTTATTATGCATTATGTGAATAAGTGTGAATTGTTGAATTTTGTGTATGTGATTTTTGAAGAGATATTATATATGTGGTAGTTGAGGAATATAAATTAAGTACTTTTGGGGTATTAAATATTTTTAAATACCTTCAAGACTTTTTAGAGAAATTGAGAAGTATTTTTGAAGTTGACAAACTCATCATAGTTTGCCTCTTTCACATGGTCCGGATAGAAACGGTCGCGTAGGGCTATCTTGAAGTCTTCCCAACAAAATTCCGGTTGCTCGAGCAGAGTTGTCCCGGTGGCAGCCCACCAATGATCCGCCTCTTGGTGCAAGTAGTACACCGCTATGTTTACCCGCTGCTCTAACGGGCAGTTGAGCGAATCAAAGAGCTTGTCGAAGGTTCGGATCCAGTCTTCTAGAATCAGATGATCCTCCTCCCCCAGGTATTTTGGGGGGTTCCTTCCGGCTACGCGCGCTGCATAGTCAACCCCCTGGTTATGGGTTTGAGCTGCTCCGATGTGTTGCGCCATCTGCTGAATAGTTTGAGCCAACTCCTCAACAGTTGGGGTCGCATGGAAGATCAAGTGGTGTTAGGGCCGGATTACCTCCAAGACACCATAGAGAAAGTGAAGACGATTCAAGCAAGGATGAAAGCTGCACAAGATCGTCAGAAGTCTTATGCAGACCTGAAAAGGAAGCCAGCAGAATTTGAAGCGGGAGAGAAAGTCCTACTCAGAGTCTCCCCGACCAAGGGAGTAATGAGGTTTGGAAAGAAGGGAAAGCTAAGCCCGAGGTTCATTGGCCCATATGACATCCTCGAGCGAGTGGGAAGAGTGGCATATCGGCTAGCTCTACCCACCGAGTTGGCTAAGGTATTACATACTATAAACCGCTCGTTAGTGAATACCTTAGTAAATATCTCTCAAAACCTAAAGTGTGCTATGCGTAGGTACACAACGTTTTCCATATCTCCCAATTGAAGAAGTATGTCCGCGACGAATCCCATATTCTTAGCCCCGAGGTACGAATCGTAACCTTATGATAATTATTAGATCCAAGTATCACATATAACCTCGACTTTTTAGGTGGTCGAGTTGGATGAATCGTTGACTTACGAGGAGAGGCCAGTCCAGATTTTGGATACTAAGACCCGTGAGACTAGAAGAAAAGCGGTTAAGATGGTGAAGGTGTTGTGGTCTAACCATTTGGCCGAAAATGCCACATGGGAGACTGAGGACGATATGCGCAAACGTTATCCAGAGTTATTTGAATAAGATAAAATTTGAGTTACGAGGACGTAACCTCTCTTTGAGGGGGGTAGAATGTAATACTTAAGAATTTGATTGTTTAGATATAGTTAATGTTTCGGGACGAAACATCTTTTAAGGAGGGTAGAATGTGACACTCCAAAAATTTAAAAAAAAAAATAATAATTTTTAGCCAGATAAATCATAAAATATTGCGGAAGTGACATTTTATTAATTGAGTCAGACAAAAATTCAACAGTTGTAACATTCTAATCAGATAAAAATTTCAAAATTTATGACGTCTTAGTCAAATAAAAATATTTCAGTAATAGGAACAACATTTTATGAAACAAGTGAACCAGACAGAAAATTAACAATTGTGACATTTTTAGTCAGATAAAAATGGTCCAATAAAAGAAGTAATATTTTATATCAAGTACCAATTATACATATGACATAAGAAGTAAAAGCTATATTTTATTTTTACAAAAAACAATTTCCATTTTTACTCCTAAATGTATAATACTATACGTATAATACTATACGTTAAAGAAACAAGTTTTTTTTTTACCTATGCGTCAGTTACAAAGGAAGAAATTTTTAGCCATAAGAGCAAAAAAAATAATAATAGGTTATATACGTTCCCCAAACGCATCAGTTACAAAACTTTTTAAAAAAAAAATTTATGGAGGAAATCATCTAACGCATGTAACGTTCAAAGAGAAAAAAAAAAATCTTAGGAGCAGGATTTTAGGATCTGAATCAGAAGCTTTACACCCAGCCATCTCTATAAATAGCAGAAGAGTTGCCTGGCCTTTTCATCCCAAAAATTCCGTCGGAAAAACGTATATATATATATATATATATATAACTTAATTTTTCCAACCCATCGTTAGACTCAAAACCGAGCCCTGAAAACGCTTCCCAGACCTTCCCCTTCGTGAGAGGAGTCCAACGGAGGAAGAATCATTGAAAACGGTCGTGAAACGAGGGAGAAAACGCTCGCCGGAGTTTTCGCCGGAAAACTTTCCCGACGGAAAACGGAGGAGCAGGAGCCGCCGTCGCCGCCGCCAACCCTTCACCGAGCTTCGCCGTCCCGAGAGGAGTGCACCGCTACCCCGTTGGCCGTTTCCGTCGAGGTAGGTTCTTTCCCCCCTTCTTGCCCGTTTTTCCGGCGATTCACCGGAGAAGACAACCCAGCCAAGGCTGAGGTCTGTCTTGGGCCTGATCTTTGGGCCAGAAAAAAATTAAATTTGGGCCAGTTCGGCCCAGTTGCAATAAAAATTAAAAATAAAATAGTAAATGAAATAAATAAAATCTGGAAAAATATAAATTAAATACCTGGTGTAATTATACATGTTCGGACCAACCAGAATTGAAAAATAATATTTTTAGCTATTTTTAATTGATTTAATGGTAATTGGGCCAATTTGTACACAATTAGTAAATAAATAAGTAAATGGCGAAATTAATTATGAAATAAATATTGGAGCAAACTAGGATAAATATAAGACTAACTAAGACATTATGGACCATTTATAATTAATAAAAATTAATATTAGTATATTTAATTGTAAATGGACCGGTTATTTGATATACGAAAATAAATGAATAATTAAGGAAAATGAATTATAAAATAAATATTTGGACAACCTAAGCCAAATATAGAACCAAAATGTAGTTATGAACGGTTATTAATTTATAAAGTCGACTCTTGGCTATTTTATTAAATTGGACCATATAAAGCTAATTAAGTAATTAAATAATAAAATTTTTATTATCGATGAAATGAATTTATAGTTTAATATTCATTAAAGAATATTATAATAAAATAATTGTTTCGACTTGGTATCATGATTAGATTAAATAAATTGGTAGATTTTGTTTTCACTAATTATTGGACTAATTAAGGTAGAGTAATATAACATTTGCATAATTACGGACTTTAAAATATTAAGTGTTTAAGTAATTAATAAAATCAGAATATATTAGTTAATTCGGATTTATTAAGGCTAATAATGTTAATATAAACTAATTTTGATATTTGATTAGTTAGATTAAAAATAATTCGGATATAATATTAAGACATACCATATGCTTTAGGAGTTGAGTAAATAAAAAGATGATTATTAAATTAAAAAGTTGATATTGTACTTAATTATATTCGTATGTTTTAGAATTTAAGTATTTTAATTAACGACTAAATTAATAAGGTAATTTAATTAATAAGCAGTGATTAGCGCGGATAATAAAATAATTAGTGAATTCGAAAAAAATAAAATAAAAGGTAAAAATCGAGTAAAATAATTATTAAAGAGTAAGTGACTAATTATATCATCTTAATTAAAAAGGTGATTATTTAGAGACCGGAGTAGAAGAAGAGAATTAGGAGCACCCGGACTAGAGGTAAGTTTCTCTGCCAATCCAAAAATCGTTTCCTCGTATTATATATGTATTATGTGATACGTGATTTTAAGTGTGAAGTATGATTTTTATGCATGTGATTCTGAGATGATTCGTGAAACTAAGTGCTTTTGGGGGTAAATATTTTATCTAAATATTTTTAAAGCAGTTTGAGAAGTTGAGAAATATTTTGCAGTATATTAATTCAAGATAAAAGAATGATTTCATAAGAGGTGAGCATCACGGGAGAAATCCGTGGTGTCGGTTTTCCATGTCCGGATAAATGTGGAGGGTGATTAGGTCTGCTACTACTAAGAAGTACAGTTTGAGTTTAAAGTGATATTTGGATCGATGATCCCTTTTAAGAAGAAGTTATGGTAGTAGTAGTCCCTAGTCATTCAAAATATCTTATTCAGGGGTAGTTGGTAGACTGAGTCCCGACTACTCGTTACGACTTACTACTCGGGGGGCTTGGAATCCCTTTTAGGGGGTGTGCACACTTAAGGTAGTCGTTTCGTTTCCAACAGAGCAGTTGTGGTACCGGCACTTGTTCGGGGTGGCCGTCCGTAACCACGGTCCACCGGGCTCTACCGAAAGGTTGAGCACCGCCCTTCTAAATTACTAGGAAGTTAGAGAAGAAGTGATTTTTGAGGGAATCAAAGAGAAGAGTTATTATGAAGTTTTATAGAGAAGTTGAGGATTGTTGTAAAGAAGTAGTCTTGATAAAAAGAATTTCGATGGTGTGAGTATTTTTATATATTATTATATAAAAATTCTATTTTTGTCAAACATGATTATTTTACGGGGTTGGGTAGTACTTACTTAGCTCTAAAGCTAATTTTTGTTTTCTTTTCCTTGTTTTGTTTCTGCACTTTATTTGTGCAGGTGAGGATGATGTTGTCGAGTGATGATTGCTTGCACGCCCGAGAGCGAGTTAGAAGTCGCCTTAGTTATACTAGTCATGAAATAAGCATTTACTTTTCAAACACTCTACTTTTATTAAATTAGTTGTTATGTTTTTAGTTGCCTGTGCATCCGGTTGAGAGATGACCGGATGTGGCGGTAACACCCATTTCCCTATTTTAGACTTCCGCTGTATTTCTTCAACTCTTTGATGAATAAATAAAAGTTTTATTTCAATTATGTCAACGTTTTGGGTGGGGAATCTGGGGGTGTTACACTGGCGGGGTCGGAAACGAGTGGTGCTCGACCAAGGTCAGGGCCGTCAAGTACCCCGGCCTTTGACATTGCGCCTCTATCCCCCCCGCCTTCAATGCTAAAGGGGGAGACGAAATTTGGTGGGGTGCAAGGACTTACAAAGTTGCCCCAGCTCAAAATTCAGGAACCGCGTTGGGCTACTATCCCTGCTTGTTTTGTGAGGAAGGAACAAGGGCTTATATAGATGCCTTGACTTCTCTCTTTGGGAGCCGCGTGGGGCTATTATCCCTGTTTAGTTGAGGACGTACAAAGCGGCCTCGGAGATTGGGAACCATCGAGGCTGTTATCCCTGTAGATCGGAGGGCTTACAAAGTTGCCTCATAATTTAATTGTAGGCTGAGAAGTCTGCGCTCACGAGGGCTTACAAAGTCGCCTCGGCTTGTCAGAGCTTTGGCTGGAGAGCCTGTATTCGTGAGGACTTATGAAGTTGCCTCGTTTATTGGAGCTCGATTGATGAGCGTACGTTGTCGAAGGATTACAGAACGACCTCGAATTTTGGGAGCCGCTGGGGCTGTTGTCCCGGAAGCATCAAGGACTTACAGAGCGGCCTTGGAATTCGATAATGGGCTGTAGAGCCAATGGTTGCGAGGACTTACGAAGCTGCCTCGGCTTATATCAGCATTGAGCTCGGACTGGAAGACTTATAAATTGCTCCCAGGGAGAGTTTCGTGTTGAACTCTTTTTTGATTTGAAACGAGAGCCGTGAACAGTTTACAGTGTAAGGCTGAGGTTGCTATCAGTGACCCCGGATTTCCCATGCCCGTGACTGTGCAAAGTTTCCATTTGGCGAGGGCTTATAGTCTCCTTTACAGCGCTGGGTCACTGGTAGTACCTCACCAGGTGGTGGACGTTCCATAACCTCGGGACCTCCGTGCCTTTTGGAGTGCTTAGTTTATAAGTTCCGGGCCGGACTACAGTGGTGATGATGTAGGGCCCTTCAAATTTTTTGGCCATCTTCCCTCCCTCGTTGGGTTGGCTGGCTGTTTGTCGCCTGAGAACGTAGTCCCCCACATGGAACTTCCGACCTCGGACTCGTGCATCGTAATAGCTCTTGACCTGGCGTCTGTAGTTCAACGACCTCAGGAAAGCATTCTCCCTTCTTTCATCAATGAAGTTGAGGTCAATCCGCATGTTCTGCTCATTTTGCTCAGGGTCGTATGACAGGACCCGCGGGGTGGGGATTGTGACCTCCGTAGGGGCTTTGGCTTCGAAGCCATAACAGAGTGAAAATGGAGTCTCACCCGTCGCTCTGCGGGGAGTTGTCCTGTAGGCCCACATAATGTTATGGAGCTCTTCCACCCAGCCTCCGCCTTCGTCCGTGAGCTTCTGTAAGGAATAAATGTAACTAGATTTTGATGATGCTAGGTTGATTAGTATTTGAAACTACCCCAATAGAAATTTTGTATTAGAATTTGTCTTTGTATGTACTAGAATAGTCGACATGCCAGAAACCCTCTTGGTCTTCCTTATCAGAACTTCTACCAGAGATGCTCTCAGAGTTGCTCTCCAGAGAAGCCATCAGAGTTGGATACCAAAGTTGGCATCAGAAGCTACCATCAGAGTTTTGATCAGAAAACCTCCTCAGACAAGCTCGCACCTTGCAGAACTCGAAGACTCTTACCAACGGTCGTTAAACTAACGGGAAATCCCCTAACGGCTACGAACCTTTCAACGGAAACATGGTACTGTACACGCATTAAATGCTCAATTAATGTTGTACGTACGAAGATATATTTAAAGCTGATGATTGACCATGCGAGTATCTTCGCGCCCCCAAAATAGCAAGTCGAAGGTCCAACCGGTCAAGTCAACAATACAAGCATTTAATGAAGATGTCTTCTACACTCCAACGGGAAGACTGCTCCCAGTATATAAGATACACTCTGAAGAACTACTAGGATAACTTTGCTACAACATTTGCCAGACGAACTTGCTCAGATCATTCTACTCTAAATCAAATACCTCCAAGCTTTCTTGAGATCAAAGACTTACTTACCTCAACAAGAAAAGCTCAAGTTGGAAGATATACTTTCTTATCCCTCATCCAACTAGCAAGTTGCAAAGTTCCTCAGTTCTTCAACACTTCGAAAACTTCATCTACACATCCTTTGTGAAGAAGCAACGTTGGAGAAAACTGATCTTGATTCAAACACTTCTTCAAAAAGAAGGGGCGTCTCAAACTAACTGGAGTAAGTGAAGTGGTGATACTTCCAAGAGACTCAGTGAAACGAGACCAACCATCAGGAAGCAGGACTGCATCCCGGGTGGCAACTAGGCTTGAAGAAGACGTGGAGAGCTTCTTAAGTTCTAGGAACTAAGGCGTTGTAAACTGTTGTTTTTGCAAGCTTAGTGGAACAGTGGACTAGAGGAACAAGTTGTTCCTTGAACCACTATAAAAATCCTCGGTGTCACTTACTTTACTTATTTCATTTCTGCACTTAAGAACTTGACTGCATAACTCAAAAGGTTGGACTCTGTGTTCAGCAGATCTTCCTCAAGAGTTATCAGAAAGGCATTTGCCTTAGTGTTGTCTGAGGCTACCCGGACAGAACCTAATCCGCTGCCAGGTCCAGTTCTGCCATCAGAACTTGACCTTCTCTGTCACCAGATTTTGACCATCTCTGATAAGTCAGTTTTGACTTAGAAAAAAGTTTAAATTCCTGAACAGTCTATTCACCCCCCCTCTAGATTGTTCCCATTACAAATGGGACCAACAAGTGGTATCAGAGCCTCCTTGTTCTTGTAATCTTTTAGGTTACTTACTAAACAAGAGATCCACTTATTTTAGCCTCTTTAATCTCATATTATGGATAACACTCTTTCAAAGAATCTTATGTTCTCAGTGACAAAGTTTGATAACTGGAGGATTCGCATGAAAGCTCACCTCTGCGCACTCCATGATGAAATGTGGGAAGTCCTTGATGCTGGTCCTTTCACAGAGTTTACTAAGATCAATCCTGAATACATTGCTGGTGGTGGTCTACCTCAGATGATCACCAAGCTGCGACATGAGTGGTCCAATGAAGAAAGGAGGAAGTACAACCTTGATAACATTGCCAAGGACATCCTCTACAAGTCCATAGATGACAAATACTTCACAAGAATCAAGAAGTGCACCTCTGCCAAAGAAATCTGGGATACACTCACCCTGATAGGAGCTGGTGATGAGCAGGAAAAAGACAACAAACTGATCATTGCCATGAAGAAGTTTGAAGACTTCAAACTTCTACCCAAAGAGTGCATAGCTGAGATGTATGCACGCCTACTTACACTCACTGCTGAGATATCAGAACTTGGGAAGGAGCTCACTCCCAAGGAGATCAATCTGAAGGTTCTCAGAGGCTTACCTTCACCCTGGAAGATGAAGGTCACTGCCATGAGAGATAGCAAAGATCTCAGAACCTACAACACAGAGAAGCTCATCTCTGATCTCAAATCTTATGAGTTCGAGATGAATGAAGAAGAGAAAGAAGAAGTTGAGGACAGAACAACTGCTGCCCTCACAGCCAGCACATCTCAGGTAAATAACTTTGACCCTTCTATCCTTTTAACTGACGAATATATGGCTGCTTTTGCCAGGAAGTTCAGGAAATTCCTGAAGCCAAAGGACAGCAGAAGTCCATCCTCAAGCAGAAAGCCGCACCAGAAACCCAAAGCATCAGAAAGTAGTGGAGAGCTTCTCTGCTACAACTGCCGACAACAAGGTCACTTCAAAGTCAACTATCCACATCCTATAGTCTCCAAAAGGCAAGGCCATGAAGGAGAGAAGAAGTATGAGCACAGAAGAAGGAAGGCACTCATCACTGAATAACCAGAGAAGGACCCCCTCTCTGAGACAGAGTCCAGCTCAGAATCAGAATCCGATGAGGCATTATGTTGCCTGGATATAGAGACTGAAGACCTATGCCTTATGGGTCAATCTGATGATGAGGGATCCTCTACTTCTAACTCTAGTTTTTCTTCGGTAGCCAAAGCATTTGATTCTGATTCAATGTCAGAATTTTGGGAAGAGTTTCAAGCCATCCAAGCCACTTATTCCTCTGTTAAAGAAGAAAACAGTAAGCTTAAGGTTGAAATCCTTGACTTAAGAAAGCAGGTTGAGATCAAAATCAATCTTCTGATTAAGGAGAGAGATCAGCTGGAAGCTGAAAATGTTTCTCTTCTAAATGAATAAGGGAGATAGAGCCTCTTGAGATTAAGTATAAAACCTACCAGAAGGCCCAAGCCTCAATGGAAAGGTTTGTACTTGATCAACAAATTGGCGCTGGCTTTGGCCTTGGTTATGGCTCTACAGAATCAGGTGAGCCTTCTGTAATGCCTAGCACCAGAGTTGCTAAGGCAGACAAGGTCATAGTGCCACTGATCTCTAGCCCCATCTGCCAAGCTGGTGTATTTGGCACCAAGGTTGTTCATGAGGAAGTCAGACCAGAAAAAGGGAAGATAAAGGTTCAACAGAAACCCTTTTTGAAAAATAATGAACCTGGCAGAAAACCTAACAACAGAAAGGATTTTCAGAATAACAAAAACAAAAGACCATTTATTGACAGACAACCTCATAATAACCGTGCCAGAAATGACCACCAGAGAGGCAAATATCAAGAGAAGGTTAACTTCAGGCAGAAAAGGTTGGCTGGTCAACCTAAGAATCCCAAAGCTAACCATTCCTCTGCTCTTGATAGTATATGGGACTTCTACCCAACCAAAAAGGCTATGCAGAAGTATGTAAACCGGAAGCATGATCCTCACAAGTATCTTCCCAAAGTGAATCACACTTCCGTTTACTATGACTACCAGGTGGACAATGGGTACCACCCACCAAGGTTTCACTTGATGAGACCAAAGTGGTACCGGCTGCCAAGACTGCATGACCCCCTA